GTTACCCGGGCAATTGATTTGCATTAGCCAATCAGACGAATTTCTGCCTATGACTTGTGTAATCTACTAACTCGGTGCATACTCGGGACGGTCCCCTCTGAAAAAATTTTATCAAAAATTCATTTTCCGGACAACTCCTGGTATTTTCATTTATCTTACTTGATAAGAAGTCAATGCAGTCAATGCGACGTTTGACTCGCTGTTTACCAAGAAAGCCAAGAAAACCAAAAACTGAAAAATGAAGATAGCGAAAAAACTGAAAACGCATCGTGGCCACAGTTTGCGGAAGTTACCAGTCAGGTACGTAGGTAATCGGACTTGACGTACGGTGAACGGACAACTGCAAATGTTCAACCGAAAGCTAAAAAAAAAAAAAAACATTCTTATTTTTAGAAGAAACGAATAAAGAAGTAAGGAGATTGATGATTGTATGAAAACGTTTGCCTTATTTTTAGAAAGTTAAAGATAAGAAACGAATAAAGAAATAAGGATATTGATGATTGTATGAAAACGTTTGCCTTACTTTTAGAAAGTTAAAAATAAAGAAATAAGGAGATTGATGATTGTATGAAAGCGTTTGCCTTACTTTTAGAAGGCTAAAAATAAGAAACAAATAAAAAATAAGGAGATTTACATTGCATGAAAACGTTTGTCTTACTTTTAGAAGGCTAAAAATATGGGGAAACGAGAAATAAGTAAAATTACACCCCGTCTTGCAAAAAGAAGTAACGACCCAAAACGGGGCGTGTAATTTTAAACCCTGAGATTTTTTTGAGTGTCTGCTGATTCTGATTTTAGAGAAAGGATTGACTATGTCTTCCCTATGATAACGATCATCTTTTGTTCACAAAAGGTCCTCCAGATGCAGAATTGTAAAAAATCAAAAACAAATCAAAAAAAATTGGAAGCTACGCGAATAAAGCTGGATTTGGCTATTTTTGATTTAATAATTTCTTTTATATTTTATTTTATAAAATAAAAAAACATATTCGTTACATATTAAACATTTATTAAACTTCGAGATATCTAGATATCTTAAATTTTTTAAAGTTAAATCGTTCTAAAAGTTATAAAGTTTTTCACAGATTTAAATTAATATATTCCGGCATCATCTAGCGTTAACTCTGATAAAACTTTTTTATTCGATTACATACTATATACCTATTTATAGATTAAAATAAATTATTCTTCGAATTTTGAATTTAAGTCGTTTATTAAACCAGCCTTAATAAAGTTTAGTATAAGTGGCGTATGGTCTTTGTCTACCCACACTAGATTTCCCAGAATTATACATAACTAGTGTTGTTAGATTACCGTAATTTTCGTAATTTATGTAATTTTGCATTAAGTTTCTGTAAATCAATTTTTCACGTAATTGTAATCATATCGATATACGTAATCAAATAAAATGATACAATAATGCAGGCCAAACTTCTGTAAATATATATATAACATGATAAAAATTACATGAAATTTGATTTACTGAAATTTATATAAAATACATGTATTGTAAGATTGTAACTTTCGTAACACAACCCTATATACAACTTCGCATAGTAAATAATAAATATTTCATGTGAAATATGATTCTGAGTCAAAATCCCGGCCGGAACTACAATTAATGCGAGCTAACTTGTCAGGATTTTGAGCCAGATCCAAATTCAATCCACGATCAATGTTTCTCCTAACGGAGGTCGTCTAAAGCCTTGTAGATAGTATTTTATATGTGGCACGTGACTTTTAATTTACAAATCGATTAGTAATCAATTTAAAAATTATATACCTGGCTTTAGACTATCTCTAATAACGGATATGACCATGCCAGAAGTCATCACCAAAGATAATTATAGTTATAAATATAAAAAAACATTAAAATATTTATTATTATTTTTTTTTTAGTTAAAACAAGAATCTAAAAAAGCAAATTCTCCTAATTAATACACCCCTTTAGACCTTAAAAAAAATATGACCTAATTCCTCAGGAGGATCCACTCACTGCCAATCTAAATTTAAAAATCAAGTAATTAGAAAATGTATTTCATATTTAAATATTAAATTATACCTACTTCTTTAAATGTTCCATAAATACTTGTAGACTGACATCATCTGTGAAAATTGCTTGACCTTGTGGTGTTCCATACATGCCTCCAGAAACGTGTGTAGTTGAAGGGTTAAGTTTAGAAAGAAGAAAACGTGCTTGAGAACCATGTTGGTCACAAACAATATATCGAGGAACTGGGAAACGGTCTACCAAAAGTTCCTACAAAAAAAAAAAAAAAGTCAAAACACTATTATCAAACTATCAAAATAAAAATAAAATAAAATGTATATATATATACCTCTGAATCAGTTTTTGGTGCTTCTAACAATTCTTTAAAATTCTCGTAACCATTTTGATCCTGATATCCAGCCTTTCTCCATTGTGCAATTGTCTCTCCATGGAAAATAAGAATGTGGAAGAATGTATCAAGCAACAAGATAACGTCTGGTTTTATAGAAACTGAATCTAAAAGTACTGGTTGCGGTGATGTATCAAATCCGTATGACATTAGTGTAGGTTGAATCATTATGAGTGAGTTGTTTACATCTTCCCGGTTTAATACATGTCTATAAAATAAATTATCAGTTTAATAAATAATTTACATCTTAAAAAATTTTACGCTTAATTTAATTTTACCTGTAAAATGCCGTTTCGTCTGGACTATTGTTGAATACTTGTAAAAATTGACTTCTTCGAAGATGGAACATAAATTGTGGATATATAGAAAAGTTTTCAGCAAGTCGGAATGATAAGGAATCCTCTTTACGGTAATCGGCAAATTTTTGACATAGTCGAATTAGCATACGATCCAACCATCTCAAAACATCCGGTCCATCGTCAATCTCTGCTTTGAAAATTGCTATACGTGCCATAAGTACAGCAGCAGCCTCTTGATCGAAAGACTGAGCAATTTGTGGATTGCCCCCATCAGCAAAGTTTCTAGCAACAGTGGTAACACGCAAGCGGAACTGTCCACCGGAATGTTGATAATGTGTCACAAATTGAATTAAACCCCGATTATTGTGCTGGAGTGGTTGACCATGCTGACTGACAACCTCAAAATATACCGCAACGGTCGTCTTTGGTGTGATCCCGCACATTTTCCATGCAGATGTGTTCGCTATACCAATTTCAGTTTCAGCTACAGATGCACTTTTTTTATTTCCAGAGATAGCATGACCAATCAACCCACAAACTCGCATTTCTCTGGTAGTCTATGTGTAAATAAATTCTCTGTTTTTTTAAAACATTATATTAATATTAATCGTATAAACAAACATAAATAAATACCTGTACATCCAGTGTTGCGTTAAATCCCATTTGTAAATTACCTTGAGCATCCTTATTAAAAACTCTTTGGAAACTTTGTTTGAAAATGGATGTGGTAAAAGAATCGGAAAGAATCATATATCCTCCAGTCGAATTCACCATAGATTTCATTTCAAGTAATCCAACTTGATCAAGGCATCCAGCAAAAATATCAACAATATGACTATTTGCTGAACTACGTTTAGCAAGTGCGTCATAAAACTGAAAGAGAAAATATCGGTATATCGTCAATTTCCAACGCTATATCTACTATCGTAGTGTATAAAAAGCATACCTTGGTAGCTTTTTTATAATATTTAACATTATCCTTCTCAATGTCATGATGGGATCTAATAGGTTCTTTCAATTCGTTACCTACAACCATACCAGGACCTTCAGTAGCCGGACCACCGCAGAAAAGCATTATACGCGCTCCTGCTGCTGGAAAAGTGGTCTAATTAATAATTTAATAAATTAGTAAGAATAAAAATAAATAACTAAACTAAACGATAGAAATTTATAAAGACCTCCATCAATCCAATGGCAACGCTCATTGCAACACCTGTGCATCTTTGAGGTCGTTTATCATTTGCAACAGGCCATGGGTCACGTTGAAGTTGTTCTAGGATGGACGTCAAGGTAAATTCACATTGCTGAACTGGTAAAAGAAATCTGTTAAATGAAATATATATATACATATATATATATATGTTAATAAAAATAACAATGAAAGAAGAGATATGATAGTTTACGGCTTACCTGGCAGCACCAGGATTCTGAGGAATTCCGGGTTGACCTGGTCGTTGTGTCTGAGCGCGTAAAGTTTGTGCACCCAAACCAAGCATTTCTTGAATTTGTTTAGATGAATATTCTTTTGTTCCGCGAAAGACATAAGATTTAGGGCATTCGCTGTATCCAAGTTCGTGAACTTGTGCCTATTTATTAATGATAACTTTATTATTATATTGCAATTGTTAAAATATAACATAACGAGAAAATGAGTCTATACCATTGTACCAAAAGTAATTAAGCCAACTAATGCATGGGGGGGTAATAAACTCAAGCTAACAACCAGAGAATCTTTCAATGCCTTCAGATCATCGTCTTCAAGGCAAGTATCTACTACATACAAAAATATTGGAGGAACTTGAGCTGCACGATTGAGGGTATATTCAATGGTAGTATACTTTGGCAACAACTCGGCGGGAAGGTTAGTGTTGGAAATATCCTTATAATGAGGGGGAAACGCATTTCTCTGAAGACAAAAAGGGCAAATCCAAAGCTTCCCGCGAACATCAATTTGACTGATAAACTTGGATAGTCAGAAATATCAGAGAGCGTGTAAAATCCGAATAAATTAAATTCAACATACCAGTATGGATTTAAAATTGCACGACAGGGTGGCCTGCAAGTAACGGGTTCGTAATAAATTGGCGGTAGATCTTCTCTTTCCTTAAGTGGAGTATAAAGACATGATATAGGCACAACGATCCTTGTTGCGTCTAAACGAGAGGCAGGGAAGACGTTCCAGGAAAACCTTGTTCCGTCTTGTTCTTCGATCTCTTCAAAATTCATTGTGCAGGTGGCAACTATTACAAACTTGCTATAATCGTATTGATCTTATAAAATTTTTTCACGTAAACGTGTAGCTTTCTGTACGGCCAATTTCAATCTATTGTAACACAATCTACTTAAACATAATGATAACAATATATAACGATAACCAGTATCCACATTTATTTGATATATCGATAAATTTTATTAATGACAAAATTAGTCTGAACTTCTAATTCCATCTACTCACATTTGAATATTTACGTATTAATCAAATGATTGTTTTGAGGAAGTCAGTGAAACACAAAACGCTTATTATTTATTACTATATCATCGGAACCATCAAGAAAAAATATATATATATAAATCCTACTTAATAGGATACTGTATTTAAAAAGAGCAAAAATATTTACACAACATTGTTCTTTATCTTTTTCATTAACAGCATATTAGTCAATTGCTTAAAACAGTCCTATCCTCTTAGAAATATTATATTGGATATTAGATTTTATTAAAAATTTTCTCTTAACTACGTAGAAATATTTGTGAAATTAATTCCATCAATTCAATACCAGTTTCACCAATAATAGTGAAATTATATTTCGCCAGCGTCTTTAAATGATTTTACCGTAAATTCGGGGTGTATTAACATTCTGTGTCCAAATAAAGCTTTTATAGGGAATTAAGTAAATATATAAAGATATATATATATATCTATAGAAAACATAAATAATAGTATATAGCTTGAATTACCTATAATTAAGGTTTCAGAAGAAATTGTTTGCAAACATCACCGACTTCACCTTAATTAACATCACCCAAGACCTTTTCTTAAAACAAAGGTTAGA